GAAATTACATTCTGGGTGATTTGTCTTTTCATGTAAATGTTGCCGCGGCCAACAGAGTTATGGGGAACTGTCTCTTTCTGGTGCCGCGTTCTTGCAACCTCATATTTTAGAGATTAATTCATGTGCTATTAAACTGTTTCCACCGTTGTGTTGTGGTGGAAACATAATCACCGGCTTGATTATATTCAGAGGCATCATTTTTTTTTTTATGAATGATCGAACGCGAGCTGCATTCATTTATGGCAGCGGAGGGTGCCAGGTGGTGGTCGGGTAGAAAACACAAGTTACGACGGCCACACCAGAGACAGAGGAATAAAAAAAAAATAACTGCACACGTGCATCGATACCGGCTCAAAGACGAACGAGCAGAAGAGGAAGATGCGACGTCAGTGCGTCGCCATTTTATTTAAGTATAACATGTTTGTTTCTTTGAGCGACGGCTACAGACCAAATATCAACGAGGCCTCAGAGGTTCATAATCGTTTGTTTGGCCCCGATTGAAAACCAGGCTGAAAACATCTGGGAACTATTGTGTGTCAAGTACACCGTCCTCCCCCGTTCTTTCATGAGAAGACTGTAACTCTTGTTGGGTGGGGGGGGTGGTGAGGGGGGGAGTCACTGCAGGGATATGAGTTGATATACAGTCACCACACCCCCCCACAAACTGTGCCTGGCACTTTTATTGAGCAGATTTCCACCGTGTTGTCGCTCCGAGTAAAAATGTGAAACTGCCAAAGTGGTTCTACGGCTTTAAACGTCTTTTTCTTTATTTTATTTTTTTAAAACACACATTTATAAGAACGAGGAGACAAAGCAGATGAAACGAGGCGGAGATAGACTCAGCATCGTGTCGGCGTGCGTTTGTCTTCTTAGCCTTTTTCTTGATTTCTTCAATCTTTACTTTTTCGTTTTGTGTATCGTCGATGCAGCTGATTTGTTTGTCGTCTACATTATGAGCCTCTTTCTTTCACTGTACACGACACAGCGATATCTCCACGTGTTGAATGTGATAACAGTGAACGGGATACGAGCTGAACACATATTTTATTCTGCTGCAGGGCTTATGGCAGTTTTTTTTACCCTGCAGACATTCGGATGGCAAAACCGCTTCACCCAAATATTTAAGCCTGCAGGCACGTTATTGACATTTAATACATTTTTAAACAGAATCTCAACTATACACACATGTGGACTCCACAGTTTGATTTGATTGAATCATCTGTCTGGGCCATTTTCTCCAGGAGAACTCCTCCATCGCGGATTGTGCGAGAAAAGTGCCTCTGTTTAAAATAGCAATCGGTCAAATCATAGATAATCAGCTCTGGTGAAACATTTCATTTACAGTACGACTTTATATCAGTGTCATGTATAATTACCGAGGCAACTCTTATTTAAACGAATGATCATCTGCAGTGAATTGTCCATTATTTATAAAGTCAGAGGTTTATCCTAATAATAATAAACTCTATTTGTATTGCATCTCACAAGAACTGCAGCTCAAAGTGTTTTACATAAAGATAAAGATGAAAATATAAACAAATAAATGTTTAAATGTCATTCAAAATAAGAAGAGAACTGATTTTAAGAAACAAATGTTTCGAGTTCTCTTTGGGGTACATTCACTGAACTAGCGTCTCTCCTCTGGATCGTAATTTATAAAAGCTGCATCTCCAATTCTCTTTTCTTCTGAGAACCTCTAATAGACTCAGTGCAGATGACCTCGAGGTTCTAGAGGGGACGAAACTAGAGAATCAGCATGTAACTCGGTCCATTCAGAGCCTTGTATATAAAGAGGACATTAACGTAAATCCCGTGTGTCACAGGCAACCAGTGCAAATCCACCTCATTTGTGTTTTAACACTACATCCCCTTGTGTTGCAATATTCGTAGGATCCAAGGGTTGAGTTGGGAAGCTGGAGGGAGATAACATCTCGGGGCACTTTGACTTTAGAGAAGAAGAAACAATGGTTTGGTGAGACGAGCCAAGGTTTAGATATATTTGTCCGATAGAGCAGCTCCACAATATTCGTCGTTACACCGGAGACCCTGGTTTTGCGTCCGTGAGTTGGTTGAGGTAAGAAAATCAATAGGGTTGAGGTCAGTGAGGCATGAATGTAAATAAACATGTGACTGAAATCCCTCGGAACTTTTTCCTTTGCCTTGATTTTGATCACGAGAGCTGTGGACGCCTGAACATCACCATAAATTGTAATAAGTCAATATTTAAAAAAGCTGTAGTCACAACAAGGTGACATTGAACAACAGGATCAGATATTCTGGCAGAAAATATCAGGGAGCAGTTTTGGTAAATTTTTTGTAAATCACATCTTTTGCTATTAAAGCAGTTTTACTTAAAAGATTAAAAAAAAGTTATAAATATTTTCAGTTTCTTTCTAAGATCTGTTAAATCTGCTAAATGCACTTTCCTCTCATAAACTTTAGTTGTGTTGTAGAATCTTCTTCACCTTCGCTGCTGCATCTGTTTCCAGAATATCCACAACATTAAACATGTGAGGCGAAGACCAGCAGCAGTGTGTGTGTGTGTGTGTGTGTGTGTGTGTGTGTGTGTGTGTGAATGCACTCTGGTGTGTGAAGGGCATGTGCTAAGATCTGGGCGAAGCACGGAACTTGATTAATCATCCGTTTTACTGCCGAGTTAAAACCACATTTGTCCCGTGCAAATGTCAGATTACACTGCGCAAAAATGTGTGAGAAGGTTTTGTCAGGTTACAACTCGCCCTGTTCGTTCCTCTTACATATTTAATGTCATGTCAAAAAAAAAAAAAAAATCCATGTTGAGTTCACGCAGTAACCCGTCTTTAATATTTATATTGTTTGGCCAAATGAAGGCAATATTCATTGATTGGTGCATGAAGTCAGAGACTTGTTTTGCTGCCGGCTGCAGCTCACGGGCTGCCGAGCTGCAGCGGAGGAGAAAGCAAGGTCAGTGCAGATCAATGCCGTCGATGTCTGAAGAGATTGACCATCTTAACGTGTGAATAAGGATGACTGCTTTCCCTGTGCATCCACGTGTGTGTGTGTGTGTGTGTGTGATCCACACAGAACTCGTGTCAGAGGACCTGAATCTGTTTACACAGGGACATCGTGAGGACAAAAACACAAGTCCTCATTATGTGAATCATTACATTTTAAGGTGAAGACATGTTTGCCAGTTAAGCTCTGGGTAAACAAATATGAAGTGAGTCAGGATGAGAGTGAGTCAAGGTAATGTCCTCCGATAGATACACACTTGTATGCAGTGTGTGTGCGTGTGTGTGTGTGTGCGTGTGTTTGTGTGTTTACTTCAAAACCATCGTTTTGGGGACATTTTGATGCTACGATGATATTTTGAAGCTGTGACATTTGTGGCGCCGAGGACTTTCTGTCATTGTGAGGCTGTGAAGACATTTTGAAGCTATGAGGGCACTTTGACGTGAGGATATTTGGAAACTGTGAGGACTTTTTAATGCTGTGAAGACAATATGACGCAGTGAGGACACTTTGACGTTGTGAGGTCACTGTAATGTGAGAACATTCTGACGCAGTGAGGACACTTTGACGCTATGAGGGCACTTTGACGTTGTGAAGATATTTGGAAACTGTGAGGACTTCTTAATGCTGTGAAGACAATATGATGCAGTGAGGACATTTTTACCATTGTGAGGTCACTGTGATGCTGTGAGGACATTTTGACACCATGGGGACATTTTGGCCGGTCCTTACAACCTAAGGGTTGGGGCTAGACATTTAGTTGTGATGGTTAAGGTAAGGGGCGACGGAGTTATTAAGTCAACGAGAGTCTTTACAACTGTAGAAAGACAAGAAATAGCATTTCGAGTCCATTTGCTGCTCTGTGATGACGTCGTTATCGTTGTGTGTTAGATTCATTAACTGCAGAGGCCGCAGCGTGTTTGTCTTCGTGACTGTCCCCACGCTCACCGAGAGCTTTCTTTGACTCAAAGCTTACTGTGAGAAAAGCTGATTTAGTTAAATGCTTTTATCTCGTTTGTTTAGGTTCACGCTGCTGAACCACAGCTTCCACACTAAACCCACACAGATCTGCATCTGGCCTGTTTACAGAATGTCCCCCTCCGTCCTGCAGCGTGTTGGCTCAGTCGAAGCTAATTCAGTCGCTCGGAGTTCAGCAGAACGTGTTGTTCCCACTGTTGACCTCTGTTTATTAGTCTTGATGTTTTAATGGGAGAACTCTTGAGGAGATGTGAGTCGAGCTCAAGCAGCAGCACGGACTGGAGTCCCTCCGTCAGGTATCAACTTCCACGGGACTATAAAAGCTTTGCGGTGTTGTGGCGCTCCCGTGGTTTTGATTTTTCATGAAAATCAAATGAATAAAGTAAAGTAGTAAATAAAAACATGCACAGCACGAGATCCTTCAATGTGCAATCAATATAATGAACAAACGGCAATAAAATATCCCCGTGCTGCCGGATTTCATTAAGTTATATTAGTTTCTGCACGTATACTGCAGTCTCTCTGATCATCTGTAATTTGGGTTATTATATTTGTTCGTTGTCTGGACTGCTGAGACAAAGTTTCTGTTCCGCTCTAACCATGTTCAAAGGAGTCTGGCTTTCATGTTGTGTTTTATATTTGATGGCTTTTTGAAATTTACACTAGTTTTATTTATTAGTTTGTAATATATGTTTTATAATCTCTTATTATTATTTATCCTGTCTTGTTTTTACTTTGTAATCTTTTACAGTGTATACACGAGTCTGAACTTATTAATACTTTTTTAAACTTTGAACTGCAATTGATTTGTTAGTTCGGTGCTATATAAATTGTTTGGTTGATTGATGGAGCAGTGGCTGTTTTCTTTTTAAGCAATAACACAAATTAAAGTTTTAAACCTGAATATGAGCCGATTATAAAACTTCACATTGTATTTGCTGGTTCACTTCTTATTTCTGTCTACTTCAGTTCACATGAAAAGGGAAAAGCTGCTCGATCACACGCGTAAATGAAATTCATTATCCTGTTCTCTTGTTTTCCCAGATTGATCACTACGCCCAGAGGGATCTGAAGAAAGGCCTCCAGCTCTTCGGCACAGAAGGCAACGTGGGTTTGACCAACGCCTGGATGATCGTACAAACTGATGTGAGACGTGAGACACAGCGGGGGTGGAGTTTGGGCCGATCTGAAACGTAACTCGGAAGATATTTCAAAACACGAATTCTGGAAATTTCACACTAAGCTGAGGTGATACTTTAAAAAACCTCTCAGCCCATTCAATATTAACATCGGGGCCATTTGGCAAGTCAAGTCATGCAGGACGCCCTCGTCACGAGCAGATACACGACGTGTTGAGTGCATTATTCATTGTTTACTTCTGCGATTGGCAAGGTTTCACCATTTGTACCTCGGCGCTCACATCAAATTAAGAGGGAGAAGCCAACTGTTGAAGGGCCGTTTGATTTTACATTTCTCCAATTTGTGTCAAATTTGAATAAAACACTGGAATCCTTTTTTGTAGTTAATGGAATTGAGACTTTTATGAGCAGGAAACAACTGGCAATCTGAAAAAAAACCCCCAAAAAACGTATCCACCGACAGTAACAAGCACTCGAAGCGCTTTCAGTTTAAATACTGTGGTAAAATGCTGTCATAGAGATTAATGCACACATCACAGACTCTCTGAGGTAATCTTTGTTTCCAGCTCTCACTTTGATGTGCTGTTCCCTGACTATTATTTAAATATATATTCACTTTAATTCCAATGCAAAGAAAACACAATGTGAGAAACCGAGATTTGGAATTAAGGATTTCCAGGGGAGGGATGCTGCGGCTGGCGAACGCCTCCGGGAGACGTCAGATGATAGCGCAGAGACTTCAGGGCTCTGGAGCCTCCGCACCTCACCACTGTTACAGCTTGTAGTTTTGTTCCATTAGCAAATGTGCAGTGCATGCTGAATGCTTGGCCCTGGCCTGTGTGTGTGTGTGCATGTATGCAGTGTGTGTGTGTGTGTGTGTGTGTGCTCATGTCAGCATGAATAAAAAAGTCATGAGACGATGACGGGGGAATGTACTGCAAATAATATAAGCAAATGTATGCGTGTCAGGATGTGTGTATGATAATGTGCAGAGTTGTGTCTATTGTTCTGAATGACGGAGGATCCGGCTGAATGAGCCATCGATATATAAAACGTGTGTGTGTGTGTGAGCGTGCACCTTCCACCTGGTCACATCCGTCCGCTGAGTGAATGTATGGGGCTCCGTAAAGTCCCAGTCTGGCTGATATGATACAGAGCATTAAAAAGGAAGCTCTCATTCTGACACTGTTCTTCCTCCAGAGCCTCCTTCAAACATGCTGAGTCACTGAATAGATAATGTCCCCGGAGCAGAGTTCAGCTTGGATAATGTAAACGGTCACTTATAGACTGGAGGAGGATCTAGACATGAGAGGAAGTCGTGAAAACATCCAAATGCTACCTCGAAAAAATCAGCGAGGGCCACGCGTCGCTCTGGTTGTTAACGTTTCGAGGTGGTGATCTCTGAATATTTATGACTACGCAGGGTTCAGCCAGTATATGTTTTTTTAGATGCTTTTGTAATTTGAATTCTACTATAGCTCGTGATAAATTACTAATTTGATGCATTGTTTAAGTCGCCGGGGCGAGTTTTAAACAAACCAATTCCAGAGTCTGTGCACGGAGCGGCGTGGGGAGCTGCGACGGCAGCATTGTTCCTCTGTGGAATTAAAGTCCACTGAATGAACAAAAACCTCAGGGGCACTTTATCTTTTCATGAAGTACACTGATGAATTGAACTGTGTGGAGAGCCATGATCCCTTATAAAAAAAATCTATACCAATCACAGAGTGGGAAGATGTAGATAAAAAGAAGCAGGCGAGTTCGAAAATGATTTTAGGGCTGTGAGACAGACGAGATGAGAATTGTACAAAAGGAGCTGTAGCTCAATATCAGCAAGATGAAGTGTTTTCTACGTTCGGCACATGTGAATTATTCTGGCCAGCAAAACGTTTTCATGCAGCATGATTTAGTGATAATAAAAGGCCGCGCTCTCTTCGCCTCTTTTTCTTTGGTGCAGTTTCGTTGCTGCGGAGTAACCAACCACACAGACTGGTTCGAAGTTTACAACGCCACCCGTGTGCCAGACTCCTGCTGCCTGGAGTACAGCGACAACTGTGGCCTGGATAACCCGGGAACATGGTGGACGGCGGTAAGTTCGGAATCACACTGCTCCTCCAGCGAGAAAGAAAACATCCTTAAAAACACCTTAAAATGAGAATCAACATTTTTCAGAGGTCAATGGGTTAGAACACGGGACGCATATACAATTATAGTTGTGTATCTTATTTTGTGCATGTTTCTCCAACTCGAAATTACTTTAAGTTTATCACGTGTATTGGTGGATCTCAGGTATGGATAAAAAAAGGAATTTAATTATAAAAACAAACAAAATCATTCTCTCAGCGGCCAAATTATTTTATTCCCGTTATCTCATGCGGACCTTTGCTGCTTCGCCCTGGACCTCAACAAACAGCACGATCCACTGAGAGATTTTTAATTCATAATTACTGATATTGAATTAATCACCTCCGTCCAGTGGGAGTCGACTGCTGGTGTTACTAATGTTCTCCTAATGTTTAATCATTCTTATGTTTTTAATTTGCTGCTGTGTCACGGTCCAGAGAGTCGCTCTTTTCCCTTTGAATCATTACGTGAGCTTAAGTTTCAACAAATCAAACAACGGAGGTCTACGAAGTGTCTCATTAGACGTTCCGACCCTGAACATGTGGAAAACAAACATGTCGTGTTTCTGTGCTGCAGCCGAACCAGATTAAAAATAAATAAAAGAGTTTAACGTCATTAGAGTCGAGTGGGGAAAACTGTTTTCTGTCTTTGGGTGTAAACATGTCAGGAGGATGTGCTGAGGGTTGCATCAGTCAGAAACAGGACAAGCTGCGTCTCTTCTGAGTGTTTGTCATAATGAGGCTGTAACACTGGACAAAAGGATTATCCTGCACTCTTCAAACTATCGCTTCATTTACAGCTTACAATTAACCCACTTTGTCAACGGTGTCTTTTTTCTAACAATCGTTTGGTCCTGACTTTGAAAAGACGGAAATCTCAGTCATGGACAACCACAGATCCGTCTCCAAAATTCCCTTTCGTCAAAGTCTCCTAGAGACAACTGTGGTTTGTGTCTCTCCGGCCTCAGAACTTCATCTTTGAAAATTCCAGTCTGGTTCCAGAGGCGTTGCTTCATCTGACAGAATCAGCCACCTCGACTAATGACATCTTTTTGGCAGCCGATGCATTAATTGCATCTTTTCAATCAGCCTTTGACGCAGTAGACCACACCTTTCTTTTGCTGGAACGTGTGGCAGGTGTCTCCGAGTCAGTCTGTCGAATTTGCCTTCCACGGTGAGGTTTGTTGTGATTATCCAAAGGTTCTGTGTGTGTGTGTGTTGGAAATTCATTCTCATCCTCAAGGTTTCCAGTGGGATCCCTCTGGGCTCCCCCTCAGGACCCATTCTCTTTATTTTTATTCATGGTGCCACACAGCCGCAAAATTAGAAGGACATTCAGTTCATCACCTCTTATTTAAAGTGCAATGCTGCTCCCAATGACTTAGTTTTAAGAAACATAAAGGGACTGAATTCAATAAGATGAGATAAAGTAATACTTGTATAGAAGTCCCACAACAGGGAAATGTGTTACAGCAGTAAAGGGGGTAGTAAAAATATCAAGCATCAGTAATAAAGTACTAAATATGTAAATGTATAAAAGTTAGGAAATATGAAATTGTGATTTGAAAGACAATGAACACAGGATTTCCGCAATTTAAAAATTATTAACATAATTAACACATTACATTTTTTATTGTTTTTATTATTATTGTGTATTAAACATCATGTTTCAATCATGAATGAGTTCTTAATTACTTAATTCAATGGACTCTCATAAGTACTTAAAATCTACTCATCATTTTAAATCCTCATATTATAAGAATTTATGTTTTGAGGTTCTGGGATTTTGAAATGAGTCAACATGGAAATGTTGTTTACTAAATCTGCGTGTGAGTGTTTTTGACAGTGCACCAGGATGGAGCTATAATAATATTGCACCCTGGATCATTATTAAAGTCGTGCAGCTGTAAAAGAAACTCCACTTTGGCTTGTTGAATATTTAAATCCCCCTGTAACTCGTCAGACCTACACAACAGCTGGTGTTCGGCTCTGCAAACTGCTAACGCTCATTATCGAGACGTTATTTGGGGGCCCGATGAAAATAAAATGTGATGGCAGCAGCGTTAAAAATTAAATCCAAACCAAAGTTTTCAAGTTGTCATCGTCATCATTAAGGACAGAAAGGACAGTTTTTCGGCCACGAAACAGAATGAGTCTAAATATGCAGCAGAGCTAAAGCGTTCCTCTTATGAGTGAAGATGATGAACCATAAATTACAATGACTTCCGTTTAGCCTCTGATGACGTTTGAACAAAATGGTGAATGAGTATATTTTCCCAAATTATCAGATGTTCCAGATGTCACCTGCACAAAGATCAAAGCTTCAGATCAAAGGCCTCGTTAATCTTCTAACCACCCCGGTGAACGGATTTAATTTTGTTTTATTTCAAATGGTTGGCTCATATTTACTTGCATCATTTGTTTTAGAGACCTGAAATAGAATCAGCAGCAGCAGCTGGGAAACCACACGGTCCCTCTGGTAGCTTTTTTTTTTTTTATTACCTCATCAGTAGATGCTTTTAAAAAATTTCATCTCCGACTTGTTTTTTTTTCTGTGAAACTAAAAAAAGTTCAGTCTAAAACTCTATTACAACTGCACACAGTTAATCTGCTGATGAAAATAAAAAGCTCCTACATGGAAACTTAATGAACCCTGTGATAAGATTGGTCTATTACAATTTTGTTTTTACATATTTTGGTTTTCCGTAGTTTTTAACCTTTTTAAAACTTCAATGTGAGACCTACGTCAGCGTATGAAATACAGATATGAAGGAGTATCAGACTCTCTACTGAAGATAAGGTGAAGTAGCCGAGTAGATAACGTCCCTCAAAACACAGCGTCATAGCGCAAACTACAGCAACAGTGGGTGACTTTATCATTATTATCTGTCCTGTTAAACATTTCTTTTACAAAAACTTAAACACAATGGAAGTTGTGTTAAAAAGACCTTTATTGTGACGAAGAGAAACGTTAATGTAAGATCTATAATGTGATACTTTAATGGATTTAAGGATTTAGAAGGGCCCAAGCTTTTGGTTATTGAATTATAGACATAAAGAAAAGCCTAGTATGAAGTATTGTGATTAAGAGGCTCTATTTTGTACATTTGGAGCTTTTTGACAGGACATTTATTCTAAATCTCATTCCTCAGTTTAGTAAATAAAGTAAATCTTCAGTTATTTCCATTTGCAAAGGGCAAATCCTAAATATGATGCCATCAGTTTCACAGCTGTAGGCTGGGGAGCCGACAGCCGTTCATCTTGAAATACAATACGGTCGTCCTCACTGCACTAGTTTGCGAGGATTGTAAAGGCCAAACTGCAGCTACTTCACTTTCAGAAATGAAAGACAACCTTTAAAAATGTCTCCTCATTACTTTTCCTGCAACCTGCCTGCACAAAAACATTTTAAAAGGTTTTTCTGAATGATGCATATTTTCGTCTTTCAGCTTGTTAGTTGTCACGTAGATTTGAATTCCATCAAAACCCTTAATTTGAATTTTTACACAATAAATTGAACTGTCTAGTTTTTTTTTTTTTTTTTTAACACCGTCAGACCTTCAGATCAAGGATTCTGTTCCTGCAGCTCAAACTGAAGCATCTCTTCCAATAACGTCTGCATTTCCACATATGCTTTCTATACTTTTTTTTTTTAAATTAGATTCAGTTATTTTTCTACTAAACACGCTGCAACGATTTCTCCATTGAGCTCAAAGCGACAAGAAACATAGGTGAGGCTGCAGACAGGATGTTGTTGGAGTTCTCCAAGGCAGATACGAGTGCTACAAATAAATAGTATTACTTCTTTCTTTTAGTTTTGAATGAACAGTGGTGGAATGAAACCTGCTACTCGGCCTTTACTGTAGATTCTTGTGGATCTTCACGTCGGCAGCAGGTTGTTCATGAACTCAAGAACCCTGCAAATGTCTCCACGCTCTCATTCATAGCAACAGAAACTAACACAAAGGGACAGTTATAGGTTTGATGATGTGCACACGCACACACACGCACACACACACACACACACGCTCGCTCGCTCGAACTCTCAAAGACCTTGTGTGATTCTACTCGTGTACTGTTTCTGTAAAAACGGCTCGTCTCTTGGGTACTTTGATTACTGTGTGGGCTGTGGATGGTTGAATGAGAACTTCATCAGTACAAAAATAACAGCATTGATATTACGAATGCTTAAAACTACATGAAATGCGTCTGCAGCAGAACGAGACACTGAGAGTCAACGGAGACAGTAAAGCTGCAGACGTGGACAGAGACATCACGACTGTTGCCTTTTAACCTCTAACCCTGGAAAACGATATTGTTGTGATTGTGATGTGTACGTGCGTCGCTAATAGAATATCCAATTCAACTTGATTTGTGTGGCACCAGATCCTAACATACATTATCTCAAGTTACTTTCCGTAGTAAGTTTGAGACGATACAATATTACAGAGAGTTCCCACAATGAGCAAACACGAGCAGAACGTCGTCAAGCTTTTTATGTCGCGCTGTTTAATGTCACAAAATTCGGTCAAATCTCCAATAGGATGTTATAATAGTCTGAAATATCCGTGTTCATAATGTGAGTAATGTCAGAATACGTCACAGGGATAAATTTGATTATTGCTGATCCCTGGAATGACTTTATTCAGAAAATGTGAAAATGCTGTTTACATGGCAGTGTCTCATTCAGACTCTTGTCTAAATGGTTAATATCAGAATATTACATCCATGTAAACATTGTTTTCTCTTCACAATTTGTTTTTGTTCATATCAGTTCCAGACATTTTGTCAGAAAAGATTTACCAGAGTTTATCTGCAGTACCCACCTGCCTGCTTTATATACAGTATTATAGCATATATTAGCATAAAGCACGTATTTTTACATCCATATATATTTTGTATTTATCAGTTAATGAAAAGGAATTTCCCCTGGTGATCAAACGTATTTCTGATTATGCTCCTGATTGAGCTTCGGATGATGGTGTTCCACGACCCCTTGTATTTTAATGTGCCACTGTTCCTGTGCTGGAACTGGTCCCGCAGTGTTTTTCTCCGCCTGGTTTTATAGCAGAGTCTGCAGTAGACTTCAAATAAGAAAAATCTGAATTATTATACTTTCCGACGCAGCTCTGTGGTCCAGGAGGGTTGCGCTCGGGCAGCGGTTTCATAAATAACAACGGAGCCGTCCTAAATTTGGCATGACTTTCCATATTGATCCAGCCTGGAATTATTTCACCTTGGGCTAAGGAAAATATATCTTTCCCGTGTCCTGATGTTTCAAACAGCAGCGAAATGCAGAGTTGTGTGTTTGGTTTTCCTGACTCAGACTTTGATGTAAGGAGATTCAGAAAAATACAGTCTGGAAGGTGCATGTCTGCAGAAATGAATAATTTAATCATAACAGCACTGCAGCCTGTTATGTTGTTATTACAATATGTCAGACTGTCTTTTCTGCACTAGAAGTTGCATAATGAATTCACTTCGCATTTCTTTCTTCAAATATAAAGAGGTGGAGGTGTCAAACAGAATGTCAGCCCCACACTGGTTATTGAAAGAGAGTCCTCTCCTTTCAGGATTCAGCTGCTTTTCATCATGCGCTTACATCTTTGACCCGTCGCTCTTAATAATTATTATCTCCCTCTCCTCTCCGCCTGCGGGGCGCAGCGAGGCCCACAAAGCTTTCGCACAAGACCGTCACAAGAGATTGTGAAAATGTTCTCCAGGTGATAAAAATAAAAAAATGTGATGGTGGCAAAAACAATGTGGAAGCGGAAACTCTGTGGAGAGTGTTTTTTTTATTGAGTTGCCTTCAGAATGAATTCAAACCATGTCAGATATGAAAAATTCAGTTTATTCTCATGTCTAAATGATGCCTCCGGTGCATGCGTTGTTCTCGGATTCACATTACTTGTGTTTATACGGCTTAAAGGGAGACAAGGACAGCGGGGACATGCTCGGATTCTGGGAAGTTTTTCCCCGAGAACATGAGTTCACGAGGAAGAGGAGACGAAAATACGGGAGTTGCCACATGTTCCGTCAAAGTTTCATAACGCTGGCAGAGAAGTGTATCTGAAGCTGGAACATATTGTCCAAGGTTGCCTCTTGAAAAGTAAAAATGTAATAATCTGAATTTCAGGCCTTGAAAAGTCTTAAAAATGTTTTCTTATTTTAACATTCACATTCAGTAAAGTACATCGATTAATATATCAAGTGTAAAAGAAATATTCTGGCAAAATGCATAGTTTATGATGTCAGGAGTGTAGTTCTTACTTATTTATTCAGATATAAACTCATAAAACTACAAACACGACGGAACAGATGAATTATCTCGACTCTGTCTTATCTTGAATTATGGGGAAGGGTAAATAACTCTGTGATATTCCTTCAAACCAGCCGTACTTGACATAAGTCTTACATTTTATTTCTCATCATGTCACCACGAGGTCCGTTCAGTATCTACCCTGGAGCGTTTGATCTTCATGTGACTGACGTGTCGTTCTTTACGAGTGTTCGATCGGAACCTGCCTGTTTGCTGTTTACCCGTCCTGTGGTGGTAGAAGTGACCGGCCGTCACAGACCCGCTGCAGGAAGAGGTTCAGTGAAGCTGTTGCTGTGATTAACAACAACATCACTTGCACTGATGATTCTCAGCCTCTGGTGCTACGGAGCGCTGGATACTCGTCTGTATATTCAAAGTTTATCAATACTGAACTCATCACGTGTCCAAATCGCGCCTATTTAAACGACACACATGCCAAGTGTGCAGCTGAGCAGGTGAATGTTTCTTGAGATATGAATTCCACAGATTTCTGAAAAAAGATGTTCTTTATAAAAGCTCCAGTGGAAACCTTCAGAAACCTTGTTGTCCACAGCACGAAACAACGGACGAAGTTGTGTATTTACACTTTGTGTGTTTATGTGTGTGTGTGTCTCCACAGCCGTGCTACGAGCGTGTTAAGGACTGGCTTAATGACAACCTGGTGGCTCTTTGGATCTTTGCTCTATGCACGGCACTTACTCAGGTAATTACAGCTTTTAAGTTGAATGAGTTATTTTTCTAAGCAGTCATTAACTCACTTCTTTATATCTACGGGCTCTTACTTTGTGATAAATAAACCCAACACTTTACATTAAGCGGTGAGTGCAGGACTTGTGTGGACAGCAGGGGCCTCACATAAACCCCTTGTGTTACCGCCGAGGACCACACAGAGCGGCCTGACTGTCCATAAAATTCTTTTATTTCCTCTCCAGCCACATTGTACGTGACGTGCTTCCACAATCGCAAGAGGAGAGAAAAATGCTGCTCTTGAAAAAAAATCGATCACACCAGGCCGCTGCGGAGCCGGAGGCTCATTTCTAGTCACTGGTTACAGAATCTCTTTCTCCCCTTTTTCAAAATCCTACAAGCAGCACAATGAGGAGCAGAAACAACCACTGCCAGAATTATCTCAAACATCTGTGATGATTATTCGACACAAAAGACTTATACAACGATTATTTGTCTTTAAACAAAGATGACGTCTGCGTAACTTCTGAAACAGCACCAGTCCTTCATTTGCACATAAAGTACAATCGATAGTTAGTTTGATTCATTAACTCTGGAGTCTTCTTCTTTATTTATGTTGCCAAACCCTCTGAATGAACTTAACTGCTGGAATCCTTATGTGCACAGAGTCCAACTTCTTATTCAGTCCATTTAACCAACTAAAGCTGCCAGGATGTTAAAATACATATGAAAATGAGAATGGCTACAAAATACTGGCAGAAGATATAAGAACAGCTCAGAGTTTGTTCATGTAGTGGTGGCTCCAGGGGGCGATGGCTGAAATCTGATTGGCCTGTGTCCAGTCAATCGTCATGAATAAAAAATAACGATAAACAATCGGTGAAGTCTTTTTGAATTAGACGCTGTGGTTGAACAAGAAACAAGACATTTTCTAAATAGAATCATCGATGTGTGGCTCGGTCCAAAGCTACAGAGCCAGCAGTGAACAGGGAGTCACACAGAATCAGGAATGGTTCATGGATGTCCGACCTATAATTGGTCCCTGTGTGTAAATTGCGACTCCTTAATGGCCGCTGATTTAAATATAAAGATCCAGCACTGCAGGGGCACACACTGGGCAGCTCACCAGCCAATCACAGGGCCCACAGCAATTATGTTTGTCACCACAACTCAGGAAATAACATAAATGCTCCTGTGATGCTGTCGGTTCCACACGGGAAGTGACCCGTACCACCACCCCCCCCCCCATCACTGACTAATTAGCGCGGCAGCCACAGGTCGTTAAACATCATGTAATTATCAATTATAATATACAGTGAGCACAGATGTTCAACGGGCTCGTTTCATACCAGAGAAACATCAAGAACAGATTTAAGACATAATGAGCTTCTTTTTTTTTTTTTAAGTCAGGCCTACCTGTGATAATGGTGGTGGGGGGGGGGGTTCAGGAAAACCGGCTTCGTCTTTTCTCGCAGTCCAAATGTTCACACACACGACGTCAGACCACAAACAGCGACCGGGCGAGAGGAAGACAAAGTAATCCAAACTGTAAAATCCCGAGGAAAAGGTCAAACTGAGGAAACACGACATGGAGGAAACAGCACAACCTGAGAGAGGAACAGGAAGTCGATATGAAGGGGTTTCTAAGGGGAAGAAGCAGGGGCAGGAAGCTAAGCAGGTAACAGGTGTTTAAAATGACCAGGAACAAGCTGCAAAGACAGGAAATGTTAGTGGCTTTCAAAATAAAACAGGCAGTGTATAAAACAGAAAACGTGTTAAAAAAGAAAAACAAGTTAAAACAGGAAACATGTTAAAACAGTAAACGTGTTAAAACAGAAAACATGTTAAACCAGAAAACATGTTAAAACAGGACACATGTTAAAACAGGAAACATGTTAAAACAGAAAACATGTTAAAACTGGAAACATGTTAAAACAGGAAACATGTTAAAACAGGAAACATGTTAAAACAGAAAACATGTTAAAACTGGAAACATGTTAAAACAGGAAACATGTTAAAACAGGAAACATGTTAA